GGGTGTGGCGGGGTTTGTTCGGACCCTGGGGATCCCGTGGGTGCTCATTGGATATGTCAATATCGAAGTGGGCACTATGTGGTTGTCAGGATCTTCCCAGTCGCTGTACGCCCGAATTATGGCCCCGCGCGGTGCGGACTTTACCTGCTCTCATGGTTCGGGCACAATGATCGAGTATGCATGGGTCTCCTAAGACTTGGCTCCCTTCGTGCAAGTTGGGTGGTACGAACCGTCTCCTTTCAAAACGAAATTGTGGTCCAGACGCTCTGTAAAAGTCGCCGGCCTCGGGAAATACCCGCCCGTTTGTCCTGGTCCTGATCTTCCGTGGCAGCGGTATTTGATTCAGGTGCTGAGTCAAGGCGATCTGATCTTCAAAGAGTGTCTACTTCAGATGACCAGTCTGATTCCCCATGCCTCGGAACACTTGGATAAACAAATGCCTGCACCATACCTCTTTTGGTCTCGAGCTACCGAGAGCATGTTCGCCTCCCGTGCTTGTTCGGCCGTTGTTCCTGAGAAGTACTATGCATGGGAGAGGGGGGGCAATATGTCGTACGACCGCTGCCATTGCTCATCGGGGGGAGTTGGGAACGTCGTATCGGAAGACAATGCTTGCTTTCTGGTCCAATTTGTCCGCGAAGCTGTTCGAGTTGTGGATCCTGCTGAGCCGCCCCAAGTTCACCGAGTGTCGCTTGAGTGGCATCATCATGGACTTAGTGTCTCGGGTTGGCGAGTTCTCCGCGGCGATGCGTGCCGCTCAGCCAGCCCCTTGGTGGGCCAATTAGGTCACCCTCGTTTCGCGTGCCGAACCTGAGGCGGTCAATCGCCTTGTCATGGTCACTTCTGAGGTGTTGAAGCGCGCGTGGCCGGCAGCTAAGGAAGAGGCCAAGAAGGGCTTCAAGGACTGGCTGATTCGCTCGACCCCACATGGGGCGAAGGGGGTGCACTCCTGGCTTAAGAAGGATTCTAAAACCATGGTTGAATTTTTCGAGCCCCGGGAAATCAGACACACGCATGAGGAGATGATGAATTACCGTGCTAAGTTGTGGGGGGGCCTCTGGGACATTTCGGGGGAGGAAGGATTGCGGCTGGGTGATGCCATGTCTGACCTCCGAGCTGCTGCTCTCGATTCGGCCCGAGACCCGCCCCCTATTGAAACGCGTGATATTCAAGCATGTCCGTTTTTCTCCGCTACCACGGCCGTGGGAGTCGATGGGTGGAAGCCGCGAGTGGTCGCCGAGCTTCCGCCCAAGGCGCTTGATGCGATTGCCTCTTTGTATCAGTTGTGCGGGCAGAGGATGGGCTGGCCTCTCCAGGTGCCGCTTGGGCTGATTGCCACCCTCCCGACGTCGGAGTTTGATGAACGGCCCGTCTGTACATGTCCTACTCTGTGTCGATTGTACATGCAATTGATGGGGGCGGGATAGACAGGTGGACCTCGACTAATGTGGCGTTTTGGGACACGGCGGTGCGGGGCTCCTCGGCTCTGATGCGAGAGCTGTTTGACGAACCGGCGATCCACGAAGGTTCGCGAACTGTTGCTCTGCAATGGGATTTGAAGTTTTTTCTTATCTGGTCAGCCATTAGAGGTTGATCCGCCTGGCCATGGGTATGGACTACCCGCCCCATCTTCTGTACCTCGGGGTCTTGGTGCGCACTTCCCCCCGAATGCTTGAGGTGGCGGGGGCAGTCTCCAGGATGCCGACGTCGGGGTCGGGGGTCCTTCCAGGTTGTTCGCAATGCACGCCCATGGTAAGAATTTGTGTATATGAAGGCTTGGAGGCCTGTTAGTATCGTCTCAACGGGGAGCTACCCAGGGTCATCACGCGTGCCTATGTCGACTGTATCTCTCAGAACATGGCTGGGGACGAGCACGAGCTCCTGTCCCACGTTCTTCCTGCCGCTGTTCGGTTCGGCCATGAGGTCGACAAGTTTGGCTTCCAGATCAACGACAGAAGTGCCTTAGTCTGTTCCTCTAAGGCGGTGGGGAGCCAGTTGGACGCTAGCCTGCAAGTTGCGGGCTTACCAATTAAACTTCGCTCCAGAACTCGGGACCTGGGATCCTGCACGACGGCTGGAATGCGGCGGAAGGTTCCCGAGGTGCGCCGGCGGAGGCAAGAGGCTCGGAGGCGAGCCGACATGGTTGCGAGTCTGTCGCGGATCTACCAACGGGCGTGGAGGCTGTATAAAGCAGGGGTCTTGGCTGTGGGGACCTAGGGGGCACCAGCTGGCTGGGCTTCCCCCCCACCAGCTGCAAACGGTAACGGGGCAGGCGGCCCAATGTTCGGGCTGGTTGACTCCTGGAGCTTGTTCGACCACGTTGTTGTCTTTGGTTTGCAGCTTTGAGGAAGACCCCTTGTTTCGCCTGCGTCGTGAACACCTTCTTGCGTTCTCGGATTTTTGGGTGAGCCTGGGTCCCAAGGCCAGAATGCGTGTGCAATATGTTTGGGTTGCGGCTGTCAATCTTTCCCTCCGCATTCACGCCAAGTGTCGCTGGCTGCGAGTGCGTGGGCCTGTTATTGCGACGGTGGCGCTGCTTTTTGATCTCGGCTGGTACCTGACTTCATCCTGCGAATGGTATGATGAGTTTGATTTCCCCCTCTATGTCCAGGCCCGTGACTTTCGATTTTGCTAGTGGAAGGCGTTGCAGGTCACGTGCTCCCGATGGGCTTGGGGGAAAACTTCTGACTACTACCTGGGTGGGGGCGTCCGGAAAAGGGGTTGGTCTCACGGTCCATATGAAGCTGCTGAAGCGGTTTGGGCGAGATCTAGACTATGAGTCCCAAACTATTCTCCGTAATACTTTGATAGGTGGATATTGGACGGAGGCCCGCTTGTTCGATGCTGGCTCTGCAGCTGGCTCTTTCTGCCCACGGTGTGGGCTCAAACCAGAGTCGCCCTTTCACCGTTTCTGGCAGTGCGCGGCGAACCACGAGCTGGAGAGCACGGCCGTCCAGGCCACAAACAGCCTGTCCCCGATTGCGGTCGCGTAAAACTCCTCACTCCCATCTATTTGGCTTCGGGGATTGGTGTTTCTCCATCAAATTGTGAATACCCTCCCAACCCCCGTGGCCTCCAAATGGGTCCTTGGAACTCTTGGAGGGGCCTATCCGGTACGTGGGGGAGTCTGGGGGATCGATGGATCCGGAGGGAACGACACTAAGGACTGGAGGCTGAGGAGATGTGGATGGGGCGTGGTCGTGTTGCACGTGAGCGAGAGGGAGGTGGCTGGTGGTATATTTGGAACCTTTCTTACCCCATGTTCAGAGCTCTCCTCGGTCTGAATTAAACTCGCTATGGGTCTTGTTGACAAAAACCGAGGGGGACATTCTGGTGTTCACTGATTACTTGCTAATGGTGAAGAATTTCCGCAAGTCGCCTGAGGCAATCGTGAAGAGCAACAACAACACGTTGGATCTATGAGCTCGCATTTGGGACCGTCTCCAGGCCCGTTCAGGACAGGCCGATCTCCGTTGGACGAACGTTCACCCTCCCAGGCGCAGTTAGGTGGCATGTAGCTTTCTTCGGTCGAACTTCTTTTGAATGATGCCGACACTTGTGCTCGAGAAGAAGCTCGTAGGAGATAACTGGGGCCCGAGTCTTTGGAGACTGTCCGTACAACCGATGCGCTGCACGAGGAGGTCGTATGGCCATCCAGCGTGAAGTTTTCCTTACGTGTCAGCGTTAAGTTGTCATCTCGAAAAATCTAGCGTCGGCTCGGAAGCGGCCAGGAATACACACTCTCGAGGCACAGCGGCGGCGACTGATGGCCGCAGGTCACTACTGTGTCGAGAAGCGCATGATGTTTAAGTGCAGAAGTTATTCTCGCCCCTTTCCCAAGGGGCAACTCTCTCAATTTTGGCCTAGAGATTGTGTGCCCTTGTCGGAGTTCGCACAAGCCCGAGGTGCGTGGGAGCCTCGCGATGACCCGTGAAGTGGGCTGTCGTCGCCGACATCCAGGAACGGCGCGAGCCAGCGGACCATCCTCTCGGCGCACATGTTGCGTGTGTTGCGTGGCGTGGTGGTCTGCTCCTCTTGTGGAAGTTTTGGGGTTGAGCAGTCACGCGAGCTAAGTCAGGAGTGTAAGCAACCCACAGCTAAAGGCAGGGAGGCCCTCTCTCGGTTGGCTCGTGGGCTCCCCCTACATGTAGCATGTTCCCAGCGCGAGGGTGAATCCAGGCTCAGCGCCCACGCTTGCTCTTGGTCAATGCTCTCAGCGCAATCGCAATGCAATATCTTCCTCCTTCTCCGTGCCGCATTCCCCCTCCTCCTCCTCTTCTTCCCCCTCCTCCTCCTCCTCCTCCTCCTCCTCCTCTCCTCCTTCTCCTCCTCCTCCTCCTCCTCCCCCTCCTCCTCCTCCTGCCTTATTTTTCCTCTTCCTCCTTTTCCTTCTCCTCCTCCTCCTCCTCCTCCTCCTCCTCCTCCTCCTCCTCTCCTCCTTCTCCTCCTGCTCCTCCTCCTCCTCCTCCTCTTCCTCCTCGCAACCCCGAGATGATCCCAGGAGGTCGAGCATAGTTCAAGGTAGCCTCCAGTAGACCTCCAAGAGGCCTCAAGACAGCCTCAAGATGGCCCAAGATAGCTGAGCATGGCTCAATATGGCCTCCGACAGCCTCTAGCCTCTAGCCGAACCTGGCTTAGTGTATCCTCCAAGAGGTGTCAAGAACGCCTCCGGTCGTGTCTGGATGGGCTGTTGGGGATACTTTTTGGTCCGCGGACGCGCGAAACGATTCGAACGCCGAGCGTGCTAGGGCCGACCGTGCTAGGGCAAGGCTAGGGCCGATATGCGAAGCGTCAATGATTGGAGTAGGAGTAGGAGTAGGAGTAGGAGTAGGAGTAGGAGTAGGAGTAGGAGTAGGAGGAGGAGGAGGAGGAGGAGGAGGAGGAGGAGGAGGAGGAGGAGCGGGAGGAGGAGATCCCGAAGAGGTCCTGACCCCAGCGCCTTGACTGTAGGGCGGAAGGAGGGGGAGGGAGAGGAGGACAAGAATGTTGGACTTCTTTCAGCACGCGTCGCCCGAGCTGCCTCCGGCGCGCCCCAATTGCCGCGTCTGTGTCAGCGGGCCCCCGACTGGCTTCTGCTCGTGCCGCCTTGGCCCCGCTGCCATCCGCCGTTGCGGCAGCGCCGGGCCCGCTGGCTGCGGCTGCGGCTGCGGCCAGCTCGCAAGCTGCGGCTGCGGCCGGCCCGCTGGCTGCTGCTGCGGCCGGCCCGCCCGCTGCGGCTGCGGCCGGGTCGCTGGCTGCGGCTGCGGCTGCGGCCGGGCCGCTGGCCGCGGCTGCGGCTGCGCCCGCGGCCACCCCGCTGGGTGCCGCCCTGGTCGGGGCGGGCGCCCTTGCCGCCGCTTCCCCTGCCTTTTCCCCGGCCCTGGCCTTGGTCCCACTGCTGCAGTGCGGCGGCCACCGCATCCGGCAGCGCGTCGCCATCGCCCTCCAGCGCCGGAGCCTCCTGCCGATGCCCGAGCCTGTTCAGCGCCCGCCTGGCGGTCTGGCGGACCTCCTTGCGCTGGTCCGACGACAGCGCCGACAGGGCCTCGCAGTGTGGGCCCGCCGCCTCAGCGCCGAGCTGCCCGAGGACCTCCGCGGCGTGGCGCCGCACGCCCTCGTCCTCGCTGCCCAGGAGGCCCGCGACAGCGGTCGCGCAGTCGGCCCCGCCGATCCAGACGAGGGCGTCTGCCGCCGCGCCGCGGGCGCTGGGCTCGCAGCGCGCCAGCACCTCGGCGCAGCTGCGGGCCCCCGCCCCGCCCATGCGCTTGAGGGCGTTGCCCGCGACGGTGGGCACCCGCCAGTCGGCGTCCTGCAGCAGCTGGGCCAGCAACGCCGCGTGCTCCGCCGCGGCGGGCCCGAGCTTCCCGAGCACCTCCGCGGCGGCCTCTCGGGCACGGGGCTTGCTGGACCCGAGCGTCTTGGCGCACAGGCCCGCGACCGCGGCGGCTGCGGCCGTGGACCCGCCCAGCTTCCCAAGGGTCGCCACGGCCGCCGTGCGCACGAGCGCTTCGCTGTCCTCCAGAAGCCCCGCCAGCGCTTGGGCCGCGACCTCGGCCCCAGGCAGCGAGCCAAGCGCCTCGGCGGCCGTGGCGCGCACCTGCCAGTCGCCGCTGCGCAGCAGGGACTCCGCGTGCCTCGCCGCCCCCTCGCCCAACTCGCCGAACAGGCCCGCTGCCGCGCGGCGCACCGCCACGTCGGTGTCACCGCAGAGCGCCTCCAGGCTGGCGCCCTCCTCCAGGAGCCACAGCACCGCCTCCCGCCCGCTCTGCTTCCTGACCTTCAGCCTGCCCGTGGCGTGCTCCTTGAGCAGGCGGTCCAGCTCGCTCTGGTGAGGCCGGGCCGAGCCCACGCTCTCTTGGAACTGGGCTGACCGCGGGCGCAACGCGTAGACCACGTGCATCTGCGCCGCCTCCAGCGCCGCGAGCAGCGCGGCGGCCTTGGTGCGCTCGCTCCACTTCTTCGCCCAGCCGCTCTCTGGCAGGTCGCCCCGACGGCTGGACGCCGCGGCGGCGGCGGCCGCCTTCTCCTCGGCCTTCTCCTCGGCCTTCTTCGGGTCGGCCGTCTCCTCCCAGCATCCGACGAAGTGCTTTTTTGTTCCCTCCCGCGCCCCTGAAGTCTCGCCTCGACCCCCTCCTCTCCCAAAGTCAATCTTCTTGGCCCTGGATCTGCTTCTGATGAGGGCCCCCCTCCCAATTGGCCTGGAGCCGCCCCCCCCCCCCGTGAGGCCCAAACGAAAGAAAAACGCCGCGACGGAACAATTAGCCTGGCGAAGGACCCAACCATATGCAGCTGAGAGTACCGCAATTGTGAATATCTTCTTCGGTGGCGCTCCCTATGGGGCCACGAGCCGTATGAGGGGTGTGCCGAAATTCGTGGCAGTGTACACAACACGAACGAAGACGATAGGTCCGAATATGAAAGCTTGAGCGCGTGCGAGTCGGATCGCGAGCGAGTCTGATTATGAATGAATCTGCGCGCGATTGATTCTATTCGCATGAATGCGTGCATGGATACGCCCAGTGTAAATGTATGTATACGACTGTGAACAGTTTGGGTCTGCGTGACTCTCGGTACTCGTGACTCTGAGCGTCGCCTCTGCAGGGGGCTTCCCTGGGAACCCCGACGGCAGCGCCCGCGCGCCGCGACGCCCATGTCGGCACGCCACACACGAGGATCGCGCTCGCTTCCTCCCCTCATTTTTTCCATCTCCTTTGCCCGCGCACTCCAAAGACCAAGGCTGCGGGCGCAGCGCAAGGCGGAGCCCCCGCGACGCGCGCAGGTCGCCCCGAAGGGGTCGCAGTGACGCGCGCGGTTCGTCCGCTGAGCGGATCAGAGAGTGATTGCTGGCTGACTCGTAGCGCGCATGGCTCTGGCCGCCAGGCAGAGCGACGAGGGGCGGGCGAGGCGCTGGGCAGAGCGCAATGCGGAGTTTGCGCGACGCGCGCTGATCGCCCCGAGAGGGTCAAAGCGACGCGCGCCTTCGGTGGAGCTCCCTGTGGGGCCACGAAACGTGTGAGGGGTGTGCCGAAATGGGTGTGCGGGACGCATGCGGACGGCAGCACTGGGGCCTTCGGTGGAGCTCCCTATGGGGCCACGAAACGTGTGAGGGGTGTGCCGAAATGGGTGTGCGGGACGCATGCGGACGGCAGCACTGGGGCCTTCGGTGGAGCTCCCTGTGGGGCCACGAAACGTGTGAGGGGTGTGCCGAAATGGGTGTGCGGGACGCATGCGGACGGCAGCCATGGGGCCTTCGGTGGAGCTCCCTATGGGGCCACGAAACGTGTGAGGGGTGTGCCGAAATGGGTGTGCGGGACGCATGGAACTGGGGGTGTGGGGCCACGAAACGTGTGAGGGGTGTGCCGAAATGGGTGTGCGGGACGCATGCGGACGGCAGCCATGGGGCCTTCGGTGGAGCTCCCTATGGGGCCACGAAACGTGTGAGGGGTGTGCCGAAATGGGTGTGCGGGACGCATGCGGACGGCAGCACTGGGGCCTTCGGTGGAGCTCCCTGTGGGGCCACGAAACGTGTGAGGGGTGTGCCGAAATGGGTGTGCGGGACGCATGCGGACGGGCCACGGTGGAGCTCCCATGGGGCCACGCGTGTGAGGGGTGTGCCGAAATGGGTGTGCGGGACGCATGCGGACATGGGGCCTTCGGTGGAGCTCCCTGTGGGGCCACGAAACGTGTGAGGGGTGTGCCGAAATGGGTGTGCGGGACGCATGCGGACGGCAGCCATGGGGCCTTCGGTGGAGCTCCCTATGGGGCCACGAAACGTGTGAGGGGTGTGCCGAAATGGGTGTGCGGGACGCATGCGGACGGCAGCACTGGGGCCTTCGGTGGAGCTCCCTGTGGGGCCACGAAACGTGTGAGGGGTGTGCCGAAATGGGTGTGCGGGACGCATGCGGACGGCAGCCATGGGGCCTTCGGTGGAGCTCCCTATGGGGCCACGAAACGTGTGAGGGGTGTGCCGAAATGGGTGTGCGGGACGCATGCGGACGGCAGCACTGGGGCCTTCGGTGGAGCTCCCTGTGGGGCCACGAAACGTGTGAGGGGTGTGCCGAAATGGGTGTGCGGGACGCATGCGGACGGCAGCCATGGGGCCTTCGGTGGAGCTCCCTATGGGGCCACGAAACGTGTGAGGGGTGTGCCGAAATGGGTGTGCGGGACGCATGCGGACGGCAGCACTGGGGCCTTCGGTGGAGCTCCCTATGGGGCCACGAAACGTGTGAGGGGTGTGCCGAAATGGGTGTGCGGGACGCATGCGGACGGCAGGAGAGAGGAGAGAGGAGGAGAGGAGGTGGGACGCGGGGCGCTGTCTCTTCAAAACGAGGACCCAACACCACAGGATGGTTGGGAAAAACAGCGCGGTCGAGACTCGGCCCCCAGATCCGTTCCCGTGGTGCGCCTGGGCCAGAATCTCGAGGCGGACACAGCAGCCGCGACGAGGGAGCCCCGCGGCAGCCCCAAAAGGGCCAGAGGCGCCCGCGAACCTCCCTGACCCCCCCGATCTGATTTTTTTCGGTGTGTTGCCCCAAGAAGGTTCCGACCACTCCCCAAGGGGTCAATGCTTTCGCCCAAGATCCAGTTCTCTTGGCCCGCTGGCCCGGGAATGGGCCCCGAAGGCCCAAACCGAGGAAAACCCGCCATGACTCAGAACAAACACCACGTCGGAGATCTGGCCGTGAACCTCCCACCGTCGATACTGCCCGGGCTCCTCGAAGGGCTTGAACGCCGGCGGGGCCGGCTGCGGACCCGGCGGGGGCCTTTGGAGGCCTCCCAGATGGGGCCCGAGCGCAGATGTGGTCGGAGCATCGCGCCGCATCGGCGACGCATCGACGCCGTCGGCGTGGAGACTGTCGGGCTCCACATCGAGCCGCATCGCCGATGCATCGGCGATGCGGCGCGATCCTCCGACCCCACCCCAGTCATCCGCCGATCTGGTTTTTTCAATCCGCCGCCCCAGAGATCCCGACCAGTTCCCCGGGGGTGATTTTTCGTCCTGGGTCCATTTTTGATGGTCCCCGGGCCCGATTACAGGCCCCGGAGGCCGAACTCTAGGAGGAACCGCCAGACTGAAACACCAGGTCCTCGGATCTCTGGGACCTGCTCGGGCCCCCGTTGGGAGGACGGGCGGGGGCCTCGGCGCGGGCCCGCGTTTGGCCGGCCTGGCGGCGCCCGGGGGCAGCGAGGGCCCCACGGGGGGCCTCGGGCCTCGCGGCCTGGCGGCACCGGGCGGCATGGCTGGCCCGATCATGGCGGGGCGAGGGCGTGCGGGTCAAGCAGTGGCGAAGCGTCCCAGCTCGCCTATAGGCCTGCCAAAGAATGTTCTGGGACCCTGTTGCGGTCTGCACGAGATGTTCTTAGTACATTTCTGGCTGAGACTGTCTGGTTTTAGCACATCGGGCTGATGTTCTTCGAACACTGTCTTTATCCTTAGAGCGTCTTGGTGTTCTGAGAAACTTCGTGGCGGGACTATAAGAATGCCGGGACGGTCGGTCCCTGCTCAAGAGGGGAAGCGGGAGCGAGGGTGGAGGGTCTACCGTCAAAGCGTGTCTTCAGGACGGGTGGTAAGGACGCAGGACCCTTGGATGCCGAAGTTGGAATTATTGGGGCGGCGGGCGACCAGGTGAAAGCGGCAAAGGACGGGCCGCAGAGGCAGGAAGATAATGGCACCCTAGATGAAGACGCGCGTCTTTACTAGGCGCGTTGACTGTAGGATCGAGGTTCGAGGACCGAGGGTCGAGGAGCGAGAGTGGATGGTCGAGGGACGAGGGACGAGGATCGAGGATCGATGAGCTAGATTCGGGAGTCGAGGATTGGCGATCGAGGTTCGAGGTTCGAGGTTCGAGGATCGAGGATCGAGGTCGAGGATCGAGGGTCGAGGATCGGCGATCGAGGGTTGAGGATCGAGGTTCGAGGGACGAAGGTCGGCGATCGACAAGGAAAGATTTACCCAGATCTCCAACGACTTTTTGTCTTGTGGTGTTTTTTTCAATGTGGGCGCTCTTCCTCGATTTCGCCCGTCGGGGGCCCATCATCGGGCCCTAGCGACCATCAAACATGGATCCAGGACGAACACCTCCCCCTGGGGAAGGGGTTGGGATTTCTGGGGCTGCAGACTGGAACATCATATCGGCGGATGCCAGGGTAGGTGGGGGGGCTGGCTCAGGCCAGGGGGAAACATTGACTAGGGATCTGCGGTGCATCGCCAATAGATCGGCGTTCGGCCCCCGATGGCAGATCCGCGCGTTCCTGGGCGGGGTGGGTTATGAAGCCCTTATCAGCGATGAATGGGCGATTGGGGGTCGATGCGTCCCCCCCTGCGCCTATCTCCCTCTAATGCTGCCCCTGTGATGGGCCCCAGACCTCCCCTGAGATCCGACGTCGCGAACCAAATTGCAGAGGTTGTTGGAAATTGCGACCAAAACCCTCGACGCCATGCTTCTGCGGCACTTCTCGAGCCGAGCCGATCCGTGAGGCTCCTGGGGCCGGAGACTTGGCGAAGCGCCCGGCGTGACAAATCGCGACGCCTGGGTCTCAAGGTTATCTCGCGGCGAGAAATAGCAACTTACGGCGGGATTCTTCTCATGTTTAAGTATCTGTTCGGCCTCTTTGGGAGCCCTTGCCGGGGCCCCTGGAAGCCGGCCAAGAAGACGGCTCGGGGCGAGCTGGCCTGGGAAAGGGTCGGAACCTCCGCGGGTTCACGCTATAAGAAAATACACAGCTCCAGAGGTCTGGATAGGAAGGGGGCTCGGGGCGATCAGAGAGCGGTAAAGCCAGCAGGTGGAACGCCTTGCGGAGTGGGCCCGGTGAGCGGGCAGCTCTTGAGCCTAGACTGCTACGGAGGGAGAAATAATTACGGTCAGCAGCTGTGGCTCAGCGTGTCGCGGCGGGCGCACCTGCGACGCACTATGCCCTGCGAGCGGATAGCGTGTCGCTCCGCTCTGCGGGGCGGGAAGCTGGGAAGAGCTCGGGATGTTGACGCTTGGAAATGGGACGTGGTGTGTGGTGGGCCAGAACTGGCGGAACGGCACGCTAAGCAACACTTCCTGACTCTAGATCGAGCGAACGAATGTCCAGCTTTACTTCGGAGGGATCCGCGCCCATGTGTGTGTGTGTGTGTGTGTGTGCGTGTGTGTGTGTGTGTGTGTGGAACGAAAAAGGGCCGCAAACTACGGAACAAAAACATGGGGACAACATAACCGCCAGAGCGGCATACGAGCCCGGACGAAGGGCGGCGACGAGGCGGCGACAGGGCGGGCGACAGCAGAGCCGCCAAAACGGCAGACGGGCCCTGTTCCTTCGTAAGAAGTGGGGGGCCCTACATGCAAACGCTGTTTGGGGAATATCGCCTCGGCGGCGCGCGCATTCTTGTACACGCTGTCAACAGTGGTGCATGTAGCCAACACGGGCCCCAAACAGTGCGATTCCGACAGTTTCGGTTGTGCTATCCATGTGGCGCAAAATCTGTTGTGCATTGTATGTGGTGCAATCTATGTCGTGCACCGTCTGCGATGTAATCTACGGCGTGCACTCTATTTTGTGCAACCTATGTTGTGCAGCGTGTGTTGCGCACTCTATGTTGTGCAATCTGTGTGGTTCACTATTTGTGGTGTGGCGTATGCGGTGCAATACATGTGGTAAGCTATGCGCTTTGTCGTCTGTTGTATGTGGTGCAATGCATCATGCGCAGCTTATGTGTGCAACGTATAAGGTGAACTCGATGTTGCGGAATGTATGGTGTGCAATCCACGTGGTGCAGCCCATGCGGTGAAATCCACCCATGCTCGTAGTGAGTTGTCAACTCCACTGCTCGCACAATCATCCCGCCCACCCACCCGCAAGTGGGTTTGCAAAACCCGTGCGACAGCGATTGCGATGAGTGCTTGGCGTTGGCTGGTGAATCTCTGCGGCCGCGCTCGCCCGCGCATGCTCGCGCGCGCAGCGGCCAACTAGTGCGGCGCGACCGCGGTGGCGCTGACATGGGCAAGTCCCAGTGGGCACTTCAGTGCAAATCGGTGACTCGGGCGCGCGTGGTGTCATGGCGACGCCGACAACGGTAGACACTACGATGATAATAGCGATGATAGTGACGATGGTGGCGATGACGACGGCAAGGCCAATGACGGCACCGCTGTTGATCACGCCCGTCGATAACGATGATGATGTCCTCGCGTCGGTGCTGACAACTTTGGAAGGAGTTCGACATTTGCCCGCGGACGACGCGCGCGACAAGCCCGCGTGGTATTATTTGACACGGGTCGTGCACACCCCTGCACGCGCGCAGGGGCGTTCGAACGACCTCGACATGCGCGCACGAGAAGCCCGTTTGGTAGCATGTTATAAAATGTTGAAGCAACCTCTGGTTTTCTCAAAGAATCTCCGGCATGCGCGCGCGACGACGCGCGCGTGTGCACTTCGCCCCGTCTTTTGCAAGGGATTATTGAGATCTTTTGGTTTTTTAGAAACGAATGCGCGCGCATAGGATTTTTTCAGAGGATGAACGGGGGGATACAGGCTTAGCTGGGATGGTATGATTTCGTATTTCGGACGGGGGCAGGATCATATAAAATTGCACATCCCCAGAAGGAGGCCCGATAAGTCCGGGGGGGTGTAGATCCGAATGCTTTTTGAGGAAAGGAGAACCTATGTTGTGCAATCTATGTGGTGCAATCTTTGTGGTGCGCCCTATGTTGCTTGCGCAATCTAGGGCAGGGCGGCGGCGACGGCGGCGACGTGGCGGCCAGAGCGGCAAACAGGTGCATGCGACGGGCGGCGACGAGGCGGCGGCGGGGCGGCGACGGGGCGGCGACATGGCGGCCAGAGCGGCAGACAGGCTCAGACGACGGGCGGCGACGAGGCGGCGACGGGGTGGCGACGGGTCGGCGACGGCGGCGACATGGCGGCCAGCGCGGCAGACGGGCCCAGACGACAGGCGGCGACGATGCGGCGACGGGGCGACGACATGGCGGCCCGAGTGGCAGTCAGGCCCAGACGACGGGCGGCGACGAGGCGGCGACATGTCGGCCGATATGGCGGCCAGAGCGCCAGAGGTTCTTATCCGTGACTGGTCAGGTCCACGACGCCCATATAGTTCTGGACATACTTCTACGTCTCCTCACACGGCATGCCTGTCTTCAGCCATTCCACAGACGCCTCCGAGCACTCAATCAGCCTGAGACACTGCACTCCGCGAGGAAGCGACATCATCGACAAAAAGACCTCCAGACAAGAACTGGACAACGAATCCGTCGACTGCAACCGTATCCCCAAGAGAGATCAAACACAATCTCCGGAACCCGCGGTTCAACGAGAACCCCACAAGGTCCTCGGAACTGCTGGTTCAACGGAAAACCCGGAAAAGATCTGGTAACTTCCCCAGAAAAGACGGTTCAACGAGAACCCCAAGGGGTCCTCGGAACCGCTGGTTCAACGAACACCCCTGAGATGCTCGACAGAACCACGGGTTCAACGGGCACCCCGCCGGGTGTCCGATCCCACGGGCTCGACGCCTAGCCTCCCATCCTCTCCTTCCTCCTCCTGATTGTCCTTCCGTCCTCCATCCTCCCCTTCGTGGGTTGGGGAACGACGGCATCCCCTGCTCTTTGATACTCTGTGCGTGCGAAGGCACAGCGCGACCCAGAACGAACATTGCCACCAACAATCGCTCAGATGTTGCTCCGCTCCGTCGTCAGAGTCCCTCCAAAACGCACCGCCCAAAACCAAAAACACGTGACTGGACACCCAAGCAAGGGGTCGGCGGATGTGGCGTAAGCCTAAAGTCAACATGCTATTTCTCATCAAAGCGTGGCTCGCTTGATTGTTCATTGAATGTGTGAACCTTGGGGTAACCCTATACGAAAACTGCACGGGTGGAGGGCAATTGCTTTTCAACATTGGTCTCTCTTTTAGAGCTCGCCACATGTAACGGTCAGGCATGTTAACTAGTGCAAGAGTTACTCTCCGAAACGTGGGCGGCTTTTCGCAACATGCGTTCGGGCTAGACGCAACGTTGAACTTCTTACCGTCAGCAGCGAACGCGTTGCGGGGTCCATCGGAATTCGGGACAGATGTCAAACACACCGAATGCGAAACCATTGCCGCCGGCGTGCCGTGCCGTGCCTGGCCAGCGTGCCGTGCGCGTCGTGCTTGAAAACCACAGTGCGAAGAAATTGCCGCCGTGCCGTATCGTGCCCACGTGCTGTGCCGTGCCTTGAACCCAGACTGCGAACCAAGAGTGCGATGCCGTGCCGTGCCGTGACCGCGTGCCGTGCCGTGATCGCGCCGCGCTCTCAAACACCGTGTGTCCTCTCATCCCGCGTTGCTGCTTCGGCTTTACATGACGGCGCATTGATCCTGCTTGCTCGTACACCTGGTGGCTCGCTCGGAAACTGTGCGGCAATTCGTTTTCAAGGCGGGGCTCTCGCCTCAAAAGCCTGGCCCACAATGCGCTCGTCTTTCGACGGGGCGCTTTTTGTAGCGAGAGGTGGCCTGTAGTGAGGAAGGGCCTTGGGGCGGGGGCGTGTATTGCGGCACCATTGATTCATCCTGGGTCTACTCTTGTCCTCCTCCTCCTCTTCCTCCTCCTCTTTCATTCTCCTCCTCCATCCTCCCCCTCCGTTCCGCGTTCCTCCCTCCTGTTCTCATCTCTATAGCAGCGCTGTGCGGCGATACCTGGTGTGCCGCCGCGCTACGCGAGCGCTCCGCGCGGCCACCAGGCTAGCCACGGCAACGGTGCTTTCGGACGCCGCCGAGAGTGCGTTTCCCGAGGGAAGACAGAGAAACGGAAAAACCATGCACTATACGGGTAGAATAACGGACGAGGGGAGGAGTAGTGGGGTAAAGCTCTCGCTGCTGTGCCACTGCGCGAGCGGTGGCCCGCGGAGCTGTGCTCGGACGGCGGCGCGGGAGGTGGGGTACCTGGTTCTCGTTGGAGTAGTCGCTGAGCGCCTGCCCCCTGTCTCGGATCTTTCCTGTCGCAGCGGCGACGCGGAACCTGTGCTCGTCGCGGATGGTGGCCACTGTGGTAGTCGGCCCCGATCACGTTTATGCGGGGCTGGTGTTCCCTCTGCCACCTCCAACGGGTGCTGGCCATAAGCACTCTGCACTTCGCAACCTGGTCCTGCGGCGCGTCGTAACAGTCCTCCTCGTCGACCACCTGCGCGTCCTCCGCGTGCTCCACGTCGTACTGCGCGCCCTCCGCGTCCTGCTGCCTGTCCTCCTCGTCCTGCGGCATGTCGCGCGGCACGTCGTAACACACATCCTCGTCGCAGCGCTCTTCCCCGTACTCCACGTCTTGCGGCGCGTCGCACCGCTCCCGCGCGTCCTCCACTACCTGCGGCACGCTCCCGCGCGTCCTCGTAATCCAGTCTTCCGGGGACGTACGACTAACGATCGCATAGCAGTGATCGAGATATCTGGTGCATCGGTCGTCCGCGTCGCCGATTTCGTCCGGGCTGCGCTCCTGGATCATTGGGTTTTGACGGCGCCACCTCCGCGGGATCCTCGGACCCCTCTTGGTAGCACTCGTCGATGGATGCGGTAGCTGATGGTGCCCCGTTGGCGTATGGCGAACCGCGCCTCTGTGCTACGGATAGGCTGTTCCGAATCCTAGCACCGATCTTCCTTTTCATACCCGCCGCCGTAGTCTTCCTCTCCTCATCCTTGTCTGTCTCGAAGACCTGTTCGATCTCACGGAGAACATCTGGTAGTCTTTCCGTTTCGTAGCGGGCCTCGGCGCGCCAATACTGCGCACTGACGTCTTGGCTGTTGAGGCGGAGGGCTTCCGTACAGTCAGACTCCGCCTCGGCCCGATGTCCATACAGAACCGCGCATCAGGCTATGGGTAACTGCATCTGGGCAGCTGGATGCAAGCCGTATGGCCCTCGCCCTCGAATACCAGGCGGCAGTCTCGTGGAAGAACTCGGTTCTGAGGAGGTCCTGTCCCCTCCTGCCGGCTTCCTTCACCATCCTCCTGGTCACGTCTGCCTCCCTAGTCTTCTCCGCCTTCCAGGGCCCGTCCTCATCCATCACATCCTCGTCCTTCTCTTGAGCACGTGGATCGTCAGGTTCGGCACGATGATCGTTGGGCTCAGCACGCTCTCCTCGTTCTTCCTCCAGCGCCTTCTCCGCCTGACCAGGCTGGGGAACTTGGCTCGGGATTCCAAGCGGATCTTGCAATGGCGACGGTGCAAGGGTCCTTGGCGAAACAGCCCGAAGGGCTAGGTACTTAGGGCGGGCTTCTGGGCTAAAGGCCGGGTCAACTCTGGGGTGGGCCGCCCAAGGGAGGGGCCCACTGGCTCTCCGAGGCGTGCGGCTCCTCCTTGTCGTCCTTCCTGCCCTCCTCGGCCTCGCAACCGCCATGGAACATTGGGATGGGTCCGTCCAGGTCGTAGTAGTATTCGCTCTGGGTGTGGCTGTGGTCCTGGTCGTACTGATTGCCATCGATGTCGTTCTTCTCCTCCTCCTTCGTGCCCTCCTCGGCCTCGTAGCCGCCGTGGAACATTGGAAGGGGCGTCGGTACCTCTATGACGATGTACTTCATCTGAGGGAAGCTATTGCACTTGCTGTCGCACTTGCCGTGCTGGCTGTCGTACTTGCTGCCGTACTAGTCGCGCTGAGTGTGCAGCCCCCCGAGCTCGGCCATCGCCTTGCTGTCATGGCGCGGCCGGAGGCGTAGTGTGCAGCCCCCCGAGTTCGCCCTCGTCATCGTCACCACCACCACCACCACCACCACCACCATCATCATCATCATCATCATCATCATCATCATCATCATCATCATCATCATCATCATCATCATCATCATCATCATCATCATCATCATCATCATCATCATCATCATCATCATCATCATCATCATCATCATCATCATCATCATCATCATCATCATCATCATCATCATCATCATCATCATCATCATCATCATCATCATCATCATCATCATCATCATCATCATCATCATCATCATCATCATCATCATCATCATCATCATCATCATCATCATCATCATCATCATCATCATCATCATCATCATCATCATCATCATCATCATTATCATCATCATCATCGTCCGTCGAACACTTCTGGTTGAATTGCCACTTTGTTTTTTTCTGCCGCCAGGACGCAGCTGCGTGGGCACTGAGCTGGACGTGCGGCCGCTGGACGCCGATGGCTCGCGAACAAAAAACGCCGCATGGAAGCCGAGGCCCCCGGGGGCGAGGTCTTGGGCTGCCAGACCGCCGCGCCGTCGCCAGGAGGGGAGCGGGCGCGCGCCAGGGGGCCCCCAGCCAGGGGAACGGCCTCCACCGAGAGAGCAAGGGGAGCGTCCCAGATGAGCGACGACCCATCACAAACAGGTCGTACGCGGGATGGCATGGCGACCTCACGCGGCGGCTTACGCGGGCTGCCGGCGCGGCACGTTACAGTGGAGGCGAGGGCGCCTACGCACGACCTTCCGCGGGCAGCTTCTTCGCGAATGTCGGCGCAGACGACCCCATTTTTCTGCGTCGCTCGATGGGCTCGGAGGTGCTCGGAGGTGGCAGGGGCCTCCGAAGGCCTTCGGAGGCCTCCCCTCCGAAGGCCCCTGCCTTCTCAGGAGGCCGCCCCCTCTCGCGCCAGCCCCTTGCGCGCGCCGGCGAAGGGAGTGGGCGCGCGAGGCGGTGGGTGGGCCCGTGGTGCGCGCGGGCGCGCGGGGAATCGGCCGGCCGGAACTTTCTGCCGGCGGCGCACCCCCCCTTGCGGCCAAGCCGGGCGCGCTCCCCGACTCGGCTACACGCAAGAGTGACCCTTGCCATCGCTCGGACGTCCACTCCCCGTGCGTTTGTCGGTTTCGTGCTTTTGCTTTGCAAGACGATCCGGGATGCTCCCCGAGGGGCCTCGCCGAGAAGAACATGCACACGTCCGAGCGATGCGCGGCCTGCCGATCGCTGCGTGCGGTGCGGCCGTGGCGGCCCGCGTGCGTGGGCTTCGGCCCGCCGGAGCAGACGCGCACCGCAGGCTGCCCCAGCGGAAGGCCACTCTGACGTGCACGGTCACAGCGTGCAGCGAGGACGGGCGGTAGGGACGCGGGGCCCCTGGAAGCCGAAGCTGGGATCTTTTGGGCGGCGGGCGACTCGTGAGAACGGCAACGGACGGGGCCGCAGAGGCAAGGACAGAAGGGCACCCTGGATGTCGGCGCGCGTCCTCGCTGGGCGCGTCGACTGTGGAGGAACCGGCGCCTGCCTGCCCCGGTGGCCGGGGGGAAGGGCCGAGCGAGGAGCTCCCTCGAGGCAGAGGGCGCAGGAAACGGGCCCTCCGGTCAGGCCGCGGAGGGCCGCCCCGTGGCCTCGGCGTGCTCTCCGCAAGAGTGCCCCGGGCGGTGCGGTCTTCGGCACTGCCGGGGCCTGGAGGAAGGGAGCGAGGCAATCGTAACTGGAAGGCACCGCTGCTTCCCCAGAGGGGACAAGCAACGGCATGAGCGTAACAACTCGGAGGCCTGCGCAGGTTCCTCGGATCGGCGCTGGAGCCCCCTGGCGGCGCATCCGGCGCCGCCCTTGCGCGCTCCGCGCGCCAGGAGGGGGGGTCCAGAGCCGATCCGATAGAAATCCGCGCGGACCTCAGAGTTTTTGTGTTTACGTCATTGTTTGTTCCCCGATTCCTGTGTGCGCATGGGCGCCACCTCCCCAGACATTCGCCGGCCCGACTTGAATTCGAGACGTGTGCTCCTGGATCTCGCCCCCAACTTTGCACCCCGGGCCACCTCTTGATATCTTCCCGCTTGGCTCGGGACCGGCCTCCCGAAGGCCTGGACCTGCGGAACAGAGGCCACCCGCCTTGATAACTTCGAGCTGTCGGGTGTCTTGGACTGTTGTACCTACCACCAGAAAGCTGGAAGCACACATGAGCGACCATCAAAAACGGGTCTTACGCGAGATGTACAGCGACCTTACGCCGCGGCTCACGCGGGCCGCCCGCGCGGCACGCTGCACTGGAGATGAAGGCGCTTACCCGAGACCTTGCGCGGGCAGCTTACGCGCCAATGTCGGCGCAATCGAACCCGGTTTTCAGCGTCGCTCATGTGGAATATCCGGAGGCCGCTTGCTGGATACACATGCGGGAGCCAAGCCTACATTGCTATGGAGAGCCGAGGGCTGGACAGACATCTGGCCGCACGTGAGCGACGAAAATAACCGAGTCTTGCGCGAGAAGACATAGTGACCTTCCGCCACGGCTTACGCGGGTCGCCAGCGCGGCACACCGCGTGGATGAGGAGGCGCTTACGCGCGACCTTACGCGAGAAGCTTGAGCGCGACTGTCAACGCAATCGACCCCGTTTTCTCCCGTCGCTCACGAGTATCCAGCTCTCGCCCAGGCCGGCCTCGTCACGTATATCCAGCTTATTGGCAACATCGGAAGAGGCTGTGCGACGGTCGGCCGGGGCCGCCTCCGACTGCGAAGGCCGCCGCTGGAGCCCTGCCGCACCCGCCCCGCTCAGAGGCTCCCCTGCGCCAGCTCCTCGAACCTGAGCGCCAGCACATGCAGCTCCTCGGCCACCTTTGCGGCTGCCAGGCTCTTCCTGGCCGCAGGCGGCTTCGCCTTCTCGTCGCGGTCCTTGGCACCCTTGTCGGCTGCACGCAAGAGCGACCCTGGGTATAAGAGGGACCTTCGGCGCGCGGCTTTCGGGGGGACGCGAGGGGTAAAAACCAAGCACGCAAGCCGCTGCAGTCGCATCCACTTCAGCGATCAAAAGGGGTCCCCGTGGGCCCGCACCGAAGGACACTCCGGCGAAGGGTCACTCTCACGTGCAGTCGACCTTGGCGATCGCCGCCGTCGGCTTCCTGCCGAGCGCCGGGCGGCACCTGCGCGGCGCCTCTCTCGGGCTGCCCGTGGGCGGGGGAGGTCCAGCGCCCGCCCCCGGCGCCACGCTGGCGGCGCCGTAGAAGCTGACGAGGCCCCCCGACATCCGCCGCGGCTGCGCCGGCGCGGGCTCCGCGGCGTCGTCCGCCTCGGAGGCGCGCCTCGTCATCAGCCGCTGGCGCGCCTCCTCGCGGATCTTCAGCTCCGAGGCGGTCCTCTCGCCCTGGTCGCTCCAGGACTTCCGCCGCTGGCTCTCCGCGCTCGCCGCGCCCGAGGCGGAGGGGCGCCGCTGCTGCTCTGGGGCGGGGCCCGTCAGCGGCAGCTCGCCGCCGCCCGACTTGTACTCGACGGACTTGCGCCGGATGTGCTGCAGCAGGGACTTGTCGTCCTTGGCCTGCCGCAGCTCCGCGAAGGCCGCGCTGTCGACCAAGGAGCTCCGCCTCTGCGGCACCAGTCCGCCGCCCAGCGACGCCCGGCGCCCGCCGCTCGTGGAGGCGCGCCGACAGGGCTGGGCCTCCGCTGCCTGCGCCTCACCGCCGTCGCTCTGGGCATGGCTAGGCTCTGCCCCCGAGCCGTCCTCGTCCTCGCCCTTGTCCTCGCTGCCGCCCTCGGGCGTGGCCGGCACCGACGTCAGCACCAGCCCCGTGTCGCGGCGCTCCGCGATGGGCGCCATCCTCACGTCCCGCCGCTGCCGGCCCACCGCCGAGCCAGTGCTCGCCTGCGAGGCACGCCGCAGGCTCAGGCTGACGTCCGCTGGCCGCAGGAAGCTGCTCTTCCTGCTCACCGACGCCTGCGACCCCGCGGCGGCCCTGCCTGGCATGGCTATGACCGACACCCGCGGCCCAGCGGCAGCGCCGGCCGAAATCGCGGCCAGTGCGCCAGGCACGCCCACGGTCGACGGGCGCTTGGCGAACATGCCGTCCGCCAGCGTCTGCGGAGGCGGCCCCACCGAAAGCTGCACGACGGGGGCCTCGGAGTCGTCCTCGCCGCTGGCGCCAGAGTCCGGTGGCAGGTCTGTGACCTCGATGAGGTCACTGATCCTTCGGCCCTTCTCAGAGGCGATCTCGCGGCGCATGGAGTGTGCGAGGGAGTCCACTACGGAGCCGCGGAAGGATCGCCGGCGAGTAGGGTTGCCGTCGCGGTCCAAGCTCAATTGGGGCGTCGAGTCGCTCTTGGCCTGCTTGTCCGGGCTTGCCGGGGCCGCCCTGACCGCAGGAGCTGACGGCTCTGGCTGCGAGCGGGCCCTTTTCGCGACTTTGTTGGCAACCCTCTCCAGCGTCTGGGAGCATGCGGACAAGCGGATGATGACCGTGTCCCAGTGCCACGGCATGGCGCATTGCGCAAGCAGCTCATTCTCCGCGATCTTGTGCACCTGGCTGTTGACCACGTCGTCCAGGTGCATGGCCAGCCGCATCTCAGACCCGACGCCGCCGCGCCCTCCTGTGCACAGCATGACCGAATGGAAGAAGGGGCTGAAGCGGCGCCGCCAGTGCTTGAGCGAGCTGGCGACGGCACCCTGCGGGTGCAGGCATGGGCCCGCGCAGCCTGGAGAGCCTAGCACGAGCACGGGCGCGAGCGCGTCTGCGCTGTCGTCGGCGTCCTGGAGCGCAACCAGCCCGAGGAGGTTCAGGCGCTCGAGCAAGGCCGTATGGTCGGCTTCGTCCTTGTACCACTCTGCGCGGCCATGCCCCGGGATCTCTTCCGTCATCTGCACCGACGGGCGGAGGCGGGACATTGCCACGACGATCACGTGCACGTTCATAGGCTCCTCCAGCAATGGGAAGCCCTGCGCCCGGGGGCCCCGGAACACCGTCACGTCGCGGCACAGGAACACGTAGGGGTCGCTCTCGGCACACATGTGGCTCCGGATGGATGCCTCGCTGCCCGCCATCTTCGTCGCTGCTGCGTGTGCGAAGCGGTCGAAGTCGCTGCGCAGCGACAGGCCCTGCATGCTCGAACCTGCGAGCCTCTCCAGGGCGATCCCGCCAGCGCTGTCGAACTCGGCGAGCTCGAGCACCAAGAAGATGGGGCGCTCGGGCTCGACCATGCGGCCAACAGTCATCGCAACGTCCAGCGGAAGGTCGTCGCACATCAGGATCGGGGGCGCGATCTGGCCGCGCCTGTGCGCCCCGTCGAGAGCACCCTGGTGCACGCCCACGTTCTCGCGCCCTATCCAGGAGACCTCCGCTGAGGTGGACATCCAGGATCTGAGCTCCACTCCAAGCTTCTCGCTGCCCCATCCCTCGGCCATGTAGTGTCCCCTCCTCACGGCCTGCTCGGAGCTGCGGCGCACGAGCCGCAGCAAGGCACCCATGGCCTCCACCTGGCCGGCCTGGCTCGCCTCCCTGTGGGCCTTCAGCCAGAGCGCCGAGTTCCATGAGACGCGGTACGCAGCCAGCTCCGCCAGCCGCGCCTGCAGCTCCAGGGCCTCCACCAGGGGTCCCCTTGAGCCCGCTCGACGCCTGCGCCCGCTCGGCCGCCGCACGGGCAACCGGACGGGCTCGGCTCTGGCCAGGGCCTCCGGCCGCCGAGCGGGCTCGACCTCTGAGGGCCCCCACCCGGCGGCCGGACGAGCTCAGATGCCAGATGGGCTAAGAAGGGGGCCCCTGCAGGTCCTGGCGGGCGGCAGCTGGGACCAGCGGCGCGCCGCCGCCCTGCCCCTTGCTGGGCGCGCGGGCAGCCCTGCTCTTCGGCCTGGCCTCCTCCGCCCGGGTCTCGTCCGCAAGCCTGGCGGAGACGGCCGGCGCCTCGGGCGCCTGCGGCACGGCGGGGATGGGCGCCCCCTGGCCCGCGGCGGGCCGCTGCCTCTGCTGGCCCCAGAAGATGGCGCCCGTGGGGCCGCCCATGCGCCACGTGCTGGCTGGGTTGACGCACCCGCCCAGGCTTGCCTTTCGGCTGCACGCGAGGAGTGGCCGCCGGTAGGCAGGGTGGCCTGTGGTGCGCGGCTTGCCGATCGCTGCGTGCGCTGCGGCAATGGCCTGCGCGGTCGGCTTTGGCCCCCCAGCGCCCCGCGAAGACCGCGCACAAGAGGCCACTCTGGCGAAGGGCCGCTCTTTCGTGCAGCGGGGCCTTGCTCGCCCCTCCCCAGCAAGGCCGCGCCGCACCGCCTGTGCCGCCCTGCAGGAGCGAAGGCAGCGGGGCCACCGCCGCGTCGGCGCCGCCGGGCCGCGCCCGGGGCGCCGGGGCGCCTGGGACGATCTGGTGCATGGCGGCCACGCGTTGAAGCCGGCAAACGAGGGGCTCTTTAGGTCGGGGGGAGCTTGTGGGGCCAAGGAGGCTGCGGGCGGCCATGGGGAGGGGAGAGGGGAGGAGGAGGAGGAGGAGGA